TAAGACCACAAGGAATCATGGTAGCACACAAGCCCACAGCCACTCTATGACAAACACGCACAAGGATTAAAGACCCCAGATTTGCGACCCCAGATCCTCACCTTGGTGCCCAAGTATGGGCTTTACTGAAATGATTTGTTAGGTGTCGATAAAGTGAGTACGTAAGAAAAAGATTGGCGTCCAACCAAGTGATATTAGTAAAGCTGACAGATTTTTGATTGCTTACCCAACCCGTCTCTCAACTGAAGCTAATGTTTTGTGATCCGGGGGTTACACGCGGGATGTAAAGATCACAACTGCTGTTTCCTTTATATGTGAACTTAGAAAAAAGGGTACTGCTTTGAAGCAATGAGATGGTGCCAAATGATGGCAACGTTTCAAAAAAATCATGTTTACTGAACACATTGTGAGTTGTATACATTGTTGCATTTTCCCGAGGCAGTGAAAGCAGACACCGCAGAGTGGATGGCTTCTGAACTAAGGGAAAACTACTTGATGACAATGTTTTGATTGATTCCTGACCAGATGACTGTGGTTTGTGTGGGTGCAGTGTAGCAAAAGAACTACATAGCCTGTGAAGAGAAAGCAGCAGAAAATCTCCCTCTCTCTTATGTACAGGTACTGGAAAGTCTCCAGCAACAACTGGCTGTCTTTCACTCACTCTCTTTTTTTTGTCTGCAAGTCCCCTGTTGAAAGAAGAACTAAGTGCCTTTAATGACAGCAAAAGTCAAACTCTCAACTAGAGAATGAAAGAGCATCAGTGTACAAACAATCTCATCTTATTGGCAAAGAATTGCAAGAAAGAGAAAGAAAATAATTCACTGAATCCTGTGGTCCTGACTAGGGCTATTGAACTGAGTTGCCCTGACATTTTTCTTCTCTCTCTTCCTCTCTTAATATATGCAACCTGTATGGCGTCTGTTTGTGAAGGGGGAATTTAAGGGATAGAGTTTAAGTAGTGGAGTTATAAGTTAGCAATTCTTATTTCCTTTTTGCCCTTAGTTAAAGGCCATTTGTTCCGAAGAAAGTTATTTTCTTGTTAGAGTAAAGAAACCTGGTGAGTGTTTTAACCTCAGTATATCAGTCAGATAAATCAGGGATTTTGGATAGTTTGAATAAATCTTTTCACATTTGTGTCAACTCCAGGAATTGAGGAGCTTGATTTCTAGCAGACTAACTCAGTGAGTCGTGACAGGGAAATAGAAAAAGAATCAGCATTTGGCCCTTCAAGCGTGCTTCGCTATTCAATAAGATCGTGGCTGATCCATTTGAGTTTGGAATTCCATGTTTCCATACACTCTCAACAACCTTTGCTTCCCTTGCCTAACAGAAATCTGTCTTCCTCTACCTTAAAAATATTCAGTGACCCCACCTTCTTCATTACTTGAGGTAGTGCTTTTCAAAGTCACACATCCTTTGGGAGAAAGAGATTTTTCTCATCTCTGTCCTAAAGTTAGGAATTCCCCTTTTTAAAGGAATGAATATTTAGATGACTCACAGTTACATTTAATAGTTCATGAATCAGGTTAGAGAAGTTCGATCTAAGTAAAAACCTTATCTGTGTGTATACACTAGTATCTAAATAATGTTCTTATTTATATGAAAGCACAGACAAATACATTTATATATATCGTGTACGGTGTCATGTGCAAATCAGTTATGAGTATTAAAAAAACCTGGATCTTGCAGTCATGAACAAACAAATTATGCGAGCCATTCATTAGACTTCTGCTTGTCTACAGATCTTCAGTGGAATTTTGCAGTGATCTAGAATTCAAAAATGTGCAACATCCCCTGCATGTGATTTGGGGTTGTGGCACCAGGGCAAGTAACTATGTATCTCCTTATTCAAATTTTCGGAGTCATGTAAAACATAGAGTAGGTCATTTTGCATTTTGAGCCGGATCCACCATTCAATAAGATCATGATTGATGAAGTTCAGGCCTGAACTTCACTATTCTCTCTACCCCTCCAATATTCCTCTTCCCCTGTTAATTGAAAATCTGCCCAACTCAATTTTGAATACATTCAATAATCTAGCCATTACAATTTATTGGAAGTGAGAATGCCAAACACTATTGATGTATAAGAAAAAAGAATCCACTTATCTCATTCTTAATAGAAAACCCTTTGATGTTAAATTGTGCTGTCTTGTTCTGGATTCCCCATGAGAAGCAACATCCTATCAGCATCTATTCTATTAAGCACCTGTCCAGATTCTTATGTTTCTAAAGGAACACCTCTTATTCTTCTAATCGCCAGTGTTTGTAGGCCCAACCTGCTCAACTTTGCCTCATATGAAAAGCTCACAACTCGGAAATCAGTCCAGTGAATCTTCTCTGAACCAATTCCAATGTATGTGCATTCCTTTATAAGAGAACCAAAACTATATTCAGTAATCTATGTGGAGTCTGAAAACGTAGCATATAAAATTTAATTCCAAAGCATGTGTAGAAAGTCAAATAAAGAAAAGGATTACGAAATAGAAGATGAGTTAAAAATGACAAAAAATGGTTTTAAAACCTTTAACGATAATCAATTTCTGAAAGAATGGAACTTCACCCTTTAAAAGTAAATTTTAAATATGCGAGAGGTGGTTTGGCGGTAGCCATCATGCCATATACTTTATTTGAATGAATAATCCTGAGCTTTTCCTGTCATTGTACGTAGATGAATATCGTGCTGTTCCAAGCATTCCAATGCTGAGTTTCTCAGAGATACCGTTATAGAAAAAAACCTCCAGTGGCGGAGGCCATCTCACATAGCAACTTCCTGATTTCTACATTTTACTGCACATGGTGTGAGAAGTTGCTGCCCATTTTACTTTTTAAATTGAGAACAGTAGGTGGTTTCCCTGTTATTTTTATTGCAATATCTGGACCATTAGGTATTATTAAAAGAATTATCAAGGCGTTAATACCTTTCTCCATACTCAGATTCGGATAGTCTTACCAAAGTACCAGCTCAATTTTCATTCTTATGCACCACTGAAAAAAATTACATAATTTTGAAATTTGTGCGAGAGAATTTCAGTAAGTGGTATAAGCTCCTCTTAAGTGAAGATGTGAAGTACACGTCTTTAATATTGCACGAATGCTGATTTTTTTTTTTAAAAGCCATGTCCACCATAAGCTGGAATTTTCAAATGGTGAATTCCTGGCTTAAGTACTTAACGTTGCTGGGAATATTAGCATCTAGAGTCAATCGCCTAACGATAATCAGTAAAACTATATTGATGCCAAGTTTAGATTCATGAGCCAAATGACTTTTAACTGTTGGTGGAAGAAGGCTTTATAGAACCCATTGAGAGCTAGACTGGAAATGCTCAAACTCATTTCCGGTAGAATCTTTATAACCAGAAGACAGACAATGGATTGGCTTTGGGCTTAGAGGTAAGAGAGCAGTGAAACCAGGTTTCTCTTTTTTTTCTTTAAATTGTATTAAGATGTCCATTTTGTTTGGCAATTTCTCCTCTCTTAAAGGCTTTATGAAACTGCAGGCTTTTGTTTCAGATTTCCGGCATCTGCAGTATTTTGCTTTCATGCCACAGGTGTTGCCATAGCAGTGGAACAGTGGGCCCGCCAGCTTTGTCCTCCCTATCCTGGAGGTTTTAAAAGACAATTGTTCAAGTCCAGCTGATTTTTGGCTATTGTAGTGGTTGAAACTGGAACCTTCCTGGTTTTCACAACTTGGTTTCACATTGGATAAGCTACGAGCCACAACGTCTGTGTCTGAATCCTAGTATCTACTGTTAAAGTATGAGCTCCACTGAAATAATAAGTTGGGTGTGGACGAAGTGAGGGGGAAAGAAAAAGTTGGCTTCCAACTGAGTAATATTGGTAAAGTTGTCAAAGGTATTTGTAACTTCCAACTCCACCCCTCATTCAAGTGAGGCTAATGCAGTCTAATCCAGGAGGTTACATGAGGCCGGAAGAAATAATAATAACCAATATCATAAAGAAACTGAGCTTTCTTTGAGGAAATTCATACCATTGACATGACCATGATCACTTAAACCTAATAGTGGTAACTGGATGTGGTAGGTAGTTGACACTTTTTGGTTTGTTCTTGTAATAGCTGCCACTAGTTTAAATTGCACGTTAACTTTTAACACATTTGGCCATGTTGAATGTTTTGTGCTTGTCTTTGAATAGTAATGTAATCGGTGTTCTATATCTACTGCTTCACCACTGAAGAGAACCACTGGGGAAGAATGAACCCATTTGTGTTATCCAGCTGAAAGTGGAGGCAACAGTGCTTTCTTAAGCAGAATGTTAGTCTTCTGAACATACCTGCTTCTCATAACCAAACAAGTAACTTGAGAAATGGCAAAGGCAGGTTGTCCTGTGCTGTAATTAAATGAAGTATTTTGCTCTGTTTTTGAAACAAAAAAGATAAATATTCTGTTTTGCCTCATTTCAATAATACCTAGGTTAATGTGTAATTATTTTTGATTCAGTACTTTGTTGTGGACTTGTTGTTTCCAGGCAAAAGATTACACTTTCTGTTATGTGACTGAGTAATTAGTCTGTTGTGAGAGTACGGTTCCAAAAAACTAGCTGTCAAAGTTGAGCCCTACCAGCTTTTTATTTGTAAAACTCAGTAAAACAATGGATAAGAATCTGTTACTAGGCAACAACAAAACTGAGTGATTATGATGTCATAAGTATCGAGAGCAAAGTTTTTGAGTGGCTTATAAGCGGAACTTGATCTACAACTATACCTCCTGACCTAGGTTGTGTCTTTGTAATTTACTTTTACAGGTAAAAGATTCCGGTATGCAATTACTAACTTCAACAAAGACAGACATCCTCCTGCACCCATCAAGTAGAAGTGCAAACATATATACATTAGATGCAATATAAGTGTTACAAGTTATGCTGTGACCTGTAAACCTTAGTACAATTTTATTTATCTACTCCGTTCATGTTATAATGCGTAATTTTGTGCATATTGCCATTACAAGTGTCTTATATTTTCCTCTTCTCTATTTTAGGAGTGTGCTGCCGATCTGGCTTTGAATAATTTTGGATTTTACATCATGAGCATTGTTCACGATAAGCTAGCGAACGAATTCCTCAGGAACGGTGGGATGGAACCAAACTTCTCTTCTGGTATGATTATGTTCAGTCACCTCCCACCAATCACAAATTTTTCCAGCCTTGCTGCTCATTCTGTCGCACCAGCTGTACCTCAGGATTTGATCCTTAAAAAGGATCCCGATGCTCCAGCAGAAAAATATTCTTCAGACTATATGCAACCCACCTCTGATGTTAAAGAGAAAAAGTTCTCCGCACATGATGGATTTGTATTTTTTAAGAATAAACTTCTCGAAGAGGAGGAAATGGGCAGGGGGCAGAGCATCTTGACCCACAGTCTGAATCACACCAGTGTAGTAAGTATTGCATTACCATTCTGTCTCTAATGCTGCTCGATAGTAAATTGATTTCTTGCCCTGTACATAATGAACAAAATTCTATCGTTTGCCAGATTATGCTAGCAGCAAACTTGATTTTTATTGCTTTGGAGCAGATCACTTGACTCTGTTCTCAAAGTCACCTTTGAGTTTGAGAGATCATTCTTCATGTTTAAACTTAACAGACAAATGTTGTACTATTTTTCCATGTGCGGGAGATTTTTTAGCTAACCCTAATCCTATACTCTTCTATGTCATCTTGTGATTTCCCATAGCAAACCATACAGCGTCGATGAAAGGTGGCACATTTACTTTCTGCCTCTTCTGTATACATTGAAAATAGTTGTAAAGCCATCGATTACCAGATCAATGAGCTCAGCACAGATTTGCAGTCAAACCTATCCTTGGTTCAATATTATGCCACATTGTCTAATGAATTGCTGGGAAGTCCATCATTTATTAATTATTTTAGCACTTTGTTCTCTTTCTCCAAATACACCACCTAGAATCATATAGTACTGGAGATGCCCTTCTGCCTGTCGAGTCTTCACCACGACAGGTACGCTAATAGTCCCACTTTGCTGCACAAGGCCCTTAGCCTTGAATGTTACATACTTCAAGTATTCATCCAAGTATATTTTAAAGGTTGCGAGGTTACCTGCCTCAACTACCCTTCTAGGCAGTGTATTCCAGACCGCATATCTCTCTGGGTGAAAAAGATTTTCCTCATGTCCCTTCTACACCTTCTGCCTTTGACTTTAAAATTGTGCCCACTTTGGGAAAAGTTCTTCAAATTTGCTTATTACAGTCAAAGCTGAAAGGTAGAAAACTTATTTTCCATTTTGATATCTCAATGTCAGCATCAAGGATTCCCAAGTCATATTGTTGGATGCTGTGATTCAACAATATTGCATAGCCTCAATCTCTGAAGAACTGTCTTTACCAGATCAGGATGAATATTGATATTTCTCACGTGGAACGAAGGATGAGCAGTCTCATTCAAGGCAAGAGGAGTTTTTCAGTTTTCGTTCTGAGAGAGTAGTCAATCTCGCTAATTTTGTACCTTCCACATTTATTAAGTCCAATAACTTCATGGGTATGGTACTCGACTAACAATGAAGAGGTGGTGGTTTAAATCCCAGTATAGTTAGTTCTGAAGTCCTGGTGCTTTTGAGGGCAGGGTATGAATTGCAAACAACTCAAATTCAGAACTGTGCTTTCTGTTGGAATCTATTATAGTCCTGTCTTTCTTTCTTCTCATTTACCATGGGAAATGCAGGATAATGGGTGGGTCTGGGTGGGATGTTTTTTGGTGGGTCGATGTGGACTTGATGGGCTGAATGGCCTGTTTCCACACTGTAGTGATTCTATGTTCTTTAAATGTGGGAAGTATTGGGAAGTATTGGAAAGTATACATTATTCTCCATCCCTAGTTTCCCTGAGGGCTAGAAGTTCACCATGTAGTGAGGGCTGGACTTGTGTTAGCCAGGCTGGGTACTAGTTACTCTTAATGCTCTGAGAAGCTATTTTGCCAGTCACCCACATCCCGTATACAAATGCATAGGAAGAAAGCTTACTGTAGAACTGTATATCATTATTCAGTATGTTCCAGTAGAGATCATATTGTGAGAACGTAATGTATTGGTAGACAGTGATCTTTGGTGTCTCTACGCTCACATTATATAATGGCATGTTTTATGGTCCTTTCCATAAGAAAGTGTGGGCAACTTGGGTGTTAAAGATTAAGGAAAGGCTAGATAGTTTACTGGGAAGAAGGTAAAAGATATTCACACCTGTAACCAATGGCCAAAGCGTACAGACAGTGGATGGATTATTAGTCTTTGAAGTCTCAGGAATGTCTTAGGACTGTCAAGTTTTATTAATGCTTATGGATAAATTGTCTATATAGTTTCACAATAGACTGAAGTTGGGAGTCAAAAGGATAGTTAATTAGAATTTCTCCCTGGATATCAGGCCTGTCTGATTTCATTTGTCATGGAGATGGGCTTCCAGAGGGGAAAATAGGCAGCTACTGAAGGATTAGCTTACAGGGTGAGTTTGTAAAAATGCCATTGAATCTCACAGTGAGAGTCTGCCAGAAGTCTCAGAGAGATCTACAAGATAGAAGCAGCAAGAGTATGGGTGGGTATTTATGCTGTAATTGAAGAGATCAAGTCTGTGAGTATATAAGCAAGACAAGAAGATTCACCTAGCTTTGAGTAGGAGAAGGAATCTCCAGAGTACTCCTTGCCATAAAAACCAATTTGTTGGTGGGAAGTTATCTAACTGCATAAAGTAGAGAAGGGAAGCAAGCCCTTGGACTGACCATGGGACATTATAGTGGCTAGTGAAGGAACAGAGTGAAGTAGATTGGACATTTTCAGTTGCATTAAAGTAGTAACAAGGAAACTTTACTCCAGTTTAGAGTTTAAGTTTCCTATTAAATAGAGTTTATTTGATGTTGCTTTTAATTTGTTTGACATACTGAGAATCTGAAAACTTAACCCTGTCATGCAATTCCTTTAAGTTAGTTACTGGGAATTGTAATTTTTCAAAATAAGTTGCTAGTCTGTACAGAGATCAGAACAGGTTTCATAGAACCATGCAATGAGGAAATAAACCATTCAGCCCGTTGTAGCAACTGGTTAAAATAGCTATTCAGTTAAACCTATTTCCTTCCTTTCATCCATGTAGACTGTAAATATTTCATTTTCAATTATATGGCTAATTTTTGAAAATTACAATTCCATGTGCTTCTACCATACTCTGCATTCTCAATCATTGTAACTCACTGCATAAAACGTATGTGTTTCCCCATATGTCTGATTCCCATGCTTCTGTAAAGGCATGCCACTAATGCTTCAATGTCCTTCAAACAGTGGTTCTTTAGCATTATACTGTTAGCACTCAGGAGAGTTCTTCGATGTTAAATAGTTATTTTAATCAACCTGCTCAGACATGCTGTGACACACCTCTGGGGCAGGTAGGACTTGAGCTTGGAACTTCTGGCCTAGAAGTAGGGACATTACCATTGTGCCATGGGACCCCCTTGCATGTCAAGTATTCCAACGAGAACTGAAGTTCTTTCAATTATATGCCTGGTAATTGAGGGTTCACAATATTAGATCACGGTCTACTCTTCCTAATTGCAGATGCTTTGATTAGTTCATGCTAGACATTAACTGATAATCTCAAGTTCAAAGTGGACACATTTTATGATAGACTCATTAGATACGTGAGCTGCGCTCCTATAGTTGCGATTTATTTTTGTCCTCAATAGAATTTCTTAGAAGAATGTGTTTGCATATAGCATCTTCAGGACCTTCAGATGGCTCAAAATGATTCACAGTTAACGAAGTACTCAAAGTGTGGTCACTGTTCTAATGAAAGGAAACACAGGTAACTTGTGTACAGCAAAATCTCTGCACATTGCAGTTGAGTAAAGTACCAGATGATCTGTGTTAGTCGTGTTGGTCAAGCTGGTTTCTGTTTGATGTTTGTTTCAATCTTCCATGATGTTTGAACCAATTAGAGTCTACTTTACCTTCCCTAATCAATCAGAAACCTTGTATTGTTGTCTTCATTCTTTGAATCATCCATGTACCCAACGTTGCAGGTGCTGAACAGTTTTCATGTACATGTCCAGTACATCATGCTTCCAGAATCTATTCAGCTGTTCTGTTCTGTGAACAGTGGATGGTGTGCATCAGTCGAGGAATAAAGAAAACCTATTGATAAGTTTATTTTTCTGTTAGAGGACCTTTGAAGCAAAAAAGAAGAAAGAACCGAGCTATTTTTGTTATAGCAGTTTCAGCTATCATGAAAACAAGGTGTTAAGAGATGGGGAAAATAATATTGAAGCTACTATGTTGCTAACCTTTTTGGAGAATTAAAAAATTAGTTTGAAAGTACAACATATTTTTGTTCCAAATGTAACAACTTTTGCTGAGCTTTGTTTGATTATTGGAGATGTAGTTCTTCCGTAGACTAGTTACACAATCCTATTCAGCTATCTTCTTGCGGTGACCATTGCTAGAAGATGTGTCCCATTTGTTAAATTTTGCTTGCTTACTCTTCCCATTGTGCCTCTGAGGTCTTTGTTAATATCAGAGTTTAGCTCCACAGCAACTGGCAACTCTTCAGTACATCCTATAAATGAATTTTTAATGTGTGAACCAAGAAAATATACAAAGGTATCACAACCAAAAAAAATTGTGGAACGAGAGCAGCGTGGATCTTGCAGCTGCTCCTGAGTTGCAGACTTTTCTTGTGGATTTCTTATGGTTGTTATACAGCAAAAGGAGAAAATTTTTATTTTAAATCATTTTTTTGGAACTTTTACAATCCAAAAAAATGCAACAAAAAACACGAAGGAGGAGAGATTTCTTTCTCATTAGGGAGTTTGTGGAAGAGGCCTCCGTGTGTATGTCAAGTGTCAATCTGGAGAGGTTTTTTTCTGTTTGAAACTTTCATAGTTCAAACATAAACATGACAAAAGAATTCTTAAAAATATGCGAAGTAGGAGAGGTTGTTTTACATATGGATCTTGTGGGACAGGCCTTTCCATGTGTTTGTTCGGCTCTAGAGAGCAACTTTTTTTTTCTGTTTATCCAGAGTTTTAAAAGCTGACTGATAGAGGACTTGAGGAGGAGGCTACTTTTTTAGGTTGATGAGAGTTTCAGCTAAGTGCTTGATTTTTTTTTTTAAGATTTTAATTTTTTTAATCTTTTGCACACTTAAGATTAAAATCTGTGTACATGAAAGGGTAATTTTCTACATTTTATATAAATACACCCACACATGCCTAAGGTGCTTTTAAGAGCTTTTTAGGCTTATTATCACGGAGGGCATTCAAGCGATACAGAGTGTGGTGGTTAGTAGATTTAGAGAGGTAGTTACACAGCAGGAACCATCAGATAGTTGGGTGACTATCAGGAAAGGTGAGAAGCTAGTTCAGAAGTCTTCTGTAGCAATTTGTC